TCTCTCTCCCCCCCCCCCTTTGAATGAACGTGTTGTCCACAAATACCACATATCTTCAGCACATATAACTCAACTTCATCTTCTGTGGCCCTCTGTGCCCATTTCTGGTGTCCCCCGCCGTGATATTGCTGGAATATTGCTAAAAGCGGCGTAAAACTAAACTCACTCACTTACTCATATATGACCAGGTTTGACCTGTTTAAGATCACGTCAGTCATTAATGACATTAATTACACCATTTTGATATTTACCAACTCGATCACCCCTTCCATGCTTACATATGTGCAATGGTGTAAACAAAACACAATGTTGGAATATTTGAAACTCAACCAATTGTGTACAAACTAAATCCACAGAAAAAAACACGAAGATTCTAAAATATTTAAAACCGAAACATATGAATTTCAGTTCAGCTGAACAGCTGACATCATTCCATATGCTACAGTACCAAGGAAAGCGATAGCACCTTGTAACTCGTTGGAGTCTCTTTGTCAGATTTTATTGATATGTACATGAATAAGAGTTTTTAGACCTCAGGTGGAATTAAACATCTAGGGTGGCTGATTTGCGGTTATTTCTAACGTTGAATTCTCGATAAGTCAACCAAATATCAAATTTGCAACAATGCTTCAATGCTTCATTGTTTTAATGCTTCAGCTGTAAAGCAGCAGAACGTTGCTGAAAAGAGGTCTAAAAAACAGATTTACGGAACTGTGTTGATTTGGTTACTTGGATTATTCGGATGCGGAGATATACTATTCACATTTTGATAAGGATCAAATCATGGATTCAACAGAAAACTATGATGTGGGGTCTAATTTGGTTTAAATATCTAGGCTTATTGTAAGCATGGATCCTAGGTTTCAGTATGTCACTGCATCTTGTGGATCCAATACCTGCTATTGACAGGTGTTGTGTACTTGTCAATGACTCGTTCCATGATTTGCCAAATGGTTGATTTGTGCCATGAAAACCATTTTATGGTTACTCATGTATCAAGTGCATAAGGTTAGATTAAAGTAGTTGTTTGCCTAAAGAGGGGTTACCATATCATTATTTATCTAGTTTAAATGGATACAATTTCAAATTATAAATCTATGTTTAAGTGAAGTTTTTATAATCCTTAGCAAAGTGTGAGTAGTATATTTTAGCGGCGAGGCAAACAGCCTGCAGCGCTCTGTTGAAGCCACAAACAGGCGAAGCATATCGACATGTAATATCCGATCAACAAACTCAATATGAATAATGCTTTCTGTCAGCATGCACTCATCGTTACCTGACAGTGATAATATCATGTTCATGAGTGTATATCGGACGACTAACAAGGCTAGAAAGGCTCCCAGTGAACGTAAACAAAAGACTTCCAGCCTGAAGGTTACATGTGACAAAAACACATAATTGGACGGTTTGTCTGCGACAAGATGGTGACAGGCACTGTTACAGTAATTTAAGGTACAAGTTCTCAACGATGTCATCGGAATTTGTGGGGTTAGACAATAACTGACACGTTGGCTAAACGACGTGAACCTTGGAGACCTGATGTGGTGTTTACTTACAAATACCAGCCGGTATTTCAGTGATGTTCCTAGTACAGATCAATGAACAACTGTAAAGGAGTACTGTTCCTAAACGTCCGGAATGCACATGTTTCTATTTAACAGGGTTTCAATTTACAAAGGTTCCTGGTTACCGGTAAGCCACAGATCCCAGTACGGGTCTATGAACAACTGTAAAGGAGTACTGTTCCTAAACGTCCGGAATGCAGATGTTTCTATTTCGCAGGGTTTCAATATACAAGGTTCCTGGTTACCGGTAAGCCACAGATCCCAGTACGGGTCTATGAACAACTGTAAAGGAGTACTGTTCCTAAACGTCCGGAATGCACATGTTTCTATTTAACAGGGTTTCAATTTACAAAGGTTCCTGGTTACCGGTAAGCCACAGATCCCAGTACGGGTCTATGAACAACTGTAAAGGAGTACTGTTCCTAAACGTCCGGAATGCACATGTTTCTATATAACAGGGTTTCAATATACAAGGTTCCTGGTTACCGGTAAGCCACAGATCCCAGTACGGGTCAATGAACAACTGTAAAGGAATACTGTTCCTAAACGTCCGGAATGCACATGTTTCTATTTAACAGGGTTTCAATATACAAGGTTCCTGGTTACCGGTAAGCCACAGATCCCAGTACGGGTCTATGAACAACTGTAAAGGAGTACTGTTCCTAAACGTCCGGAATGCAGATGTTTCTATTTAACAGGGTTTCAATATACAAGGTTCCTGGTTACCGGTACGCCACAGCTCCCAGTACGGGTCTATGAACAACTGTAAAGGAGTACTGTTCCTAAACGTCCGGAATGCAGATGTTTCTATTTAACAGGGTTTCAATATACAAGGTTCCTGGTTACCGGTACGCCACAGCTCCCAGTACGGGTCAATGAACAACTGTAAAGGAGTACTGTTCCTAAACGTTGGGAATGCAGATGTTTCTATTTCGCAGGGTTTCAATATACAAGGTTCCTGGTTACCGGTAAGCGACAGCTCCCAGTACGGGTTTATGAACAACTGTAAAGGAGTACTGTTCCTAAACGTCCGGAATTCAGAGGTTCCTCTATAACGGGGTTTCAATGTGTCCCTGCTTACCGGTAAGCAACAGATGAAGAAGCTTTCGAGTACAAAATAAAGTACGGAAGATGTGGGTCAAGTGCAAATAACACTTACTGGACAAAATGCGGTCTTCAAAATGGTTTTCAAAGTGTTGGTACAGGTATAGAGTATACTACCAGAGTCCTATGTCCGGGTACATGATCTCCGCACTTGTTCCTGGGTCCAGATCCACAAAGCGTTCGTAGCGCTACGACATTCGTAAACCTAAGGTAAACTATAGAGTTACGACAAGTCGTAACGTTACGAACACTCTGTGCATCGGGACCCAGGTTCTTTAATCTTCATAGACAGACTGTACGTCGTAAATCTATATTATTCAAACATCAGGCTGAGGAAAAGGGGTTTACAAGGTCGTAAAATATCACTTTTACAAAAAATCAAAGTGAAGCCAATTTAATTATCATGGACATAATGAAAAAACATAACAACAGAACAATCTGTACGGTTCTTTTAGAGGGGGCATAGATGTGTACAGTGAAACCCTTTCAGTACAGTAATGACAAGATGCTTCGCCACGTATCATTCTTTAAAGTCATCTTATGCTCAATTCACAATCCAAAGACTACACGTATAAAAATATAGGAAGAAAAATAACATTGATATAATGAGATTCAGCAGTGAGAGCGACAGCTGCCTTTGTGTGCGTGGCAACTCCTTACCTCCCTATTGGATGGCATGGATTTTAGGCACAATACATTATGGGATTCCCCCCATTATGTCACCATTAAACGTGATCATGAAGACACACATATAAGATCGTAATTAATTGGTCGATCCTGGTCGTAATTAAGAAATGCCACTCATAATGGATGTTTGTGCGATTGTGTCACGTACAAAGCTAGTACAATGTGTCTCACGCCTTGAGCAAACCTGATACAATTTATCTCATCTTTTGCAGTGTTGATACAATGTATATCACATCTTATGCAGTGTTGATACAATGTACATCACATCTTATGCAGTGTTGATACAATGTACATCTCATCTTATGCAGTGTTGATACAATGTACATCTCATCTTATGCAGTGTTGATACAATGTACATCTCATCTTATGCAGTGTTGATACAATGTACATCACATCTTATGCAGTGTTTATACAATGTACATCTCATCTTATGCAGTGTTGATACAATGTACATCTCATCTTATGCAGTGTTGATACAATGTACATCTCATCTTATGCAGTGTTGATACAATGTACATCTCATCTTATGCAGTGTTGATACAATGTACATCTCATCTTATGCAGTGTTGATACAATGTATATCACATCTTATGCAGTGTTGATACAATGTACATCTCATCTTATGCAGTGTTGATACAATGTACATCTCATCTTATGCAGTGTTGATACAATGTATATCACATCTTATGCAGTGTTGATACAATGTACATCTCATCTTATGCAGTGTTGATACAATGTACATCTCATCTTATGCAGTGTTGATACAATGTACATCTCATCTTATGCAGTGTTGATACAATGTACATCTCATCTTATGCAGTGTTGATACAATGTACATCTCATCTTATGCAGTGTTGATACAATGTACATCTCATCTTATGCAGTGTTGATACAATGTACATCTCATCTTATGCAGTGTTGATACAATGTACATCTCATCTTATGCAGTGTTGATACAATGTACATCTCATCTTATGCAGTGTTGATACAATGTACATCTCATCTTATGCAGTGTTGATACAATGTACATCACATCTTATGCAGTGTTGATACAATGTATATCACATCTTATGCAGTGTTGATACAATGTACATCTCATCTTATGCAGTGTTGATACAATGTACATCTCATCTTATGCAGTGTTGATACAATGTACATCTCATCTTATGCAGTGTTGATACAATGTACATCTCATCTTATGCAGTGTTGATACAATGTACATCTCATCTTATGCAGTGTTGATACAATGTACATCTAATCTTATGCAGTGTTGATACAATGTATATCACACTTTATGCAAAGTTAAGACAATGTAAATCACATATTATGCAGAGTTCATGCAATGCATACATCACCTAATTCAGAGTTGATACAATGTATGTAACATTTCATGCATGCAAAATAGGGCTAATGATAATTAAAGTAAAGCTAAACTCGATCCCAAAACAAAATAAGCTAATACCGTTCAAAAAAGAAGAAATACCCAAACTGTGTCAGCCCAAACAGCACCTTATGATCATTAAGGAAAAGCCAAAGGAAAATACCTCTGCCTAACTTGTTCCAGAATATACGTTATAAAATATATCAACCCAAAAATGTTTCAATGAACGAAAACAATTTCTAACATCATACATAGAAATAAATTTGGGGTTGTCGCACTTGATGCAGTGTCAGGTGTCTGACACTGCAGTGCTTCAACACGTCTAACACTTGGCAGCCCACACCTTCTGTAAGAAGTCAGTTGGGACTTCGTGACTGGTCAGAATTCTAGACGACCTCATTTGACAAGGATCCAAGGCTGTCCTATAATTGTGGAAGCCAGGAAGAGGCAGCAATGTCATTCCTAGTTTCCTAATGCACAGCGCAATATACACGTCCTCCAAGTGAAAGAATGGCACATTAGCAGACACTTCGTATAGCTTTTTGGTCACGGCCATACTGGTCACGTATCCGGTCCCAGAACAAAATCCTGGGTAGGTCTTGTGAGGATAGCTCTTAAAACTGGCATACCATTTGGATCTCTGGTCTCTGATTGGTCCAGCAGCCAAATGACAAGATCCTCCCACAACCTTTTGAAGGACAGCCTCTTTTTGGTTCAACAATTTGATCATTTCCGGTACATTGACCCACATATCGTCGTCTGTCTTCATGAAGAACCTTGCCCGTGCGCAGTATAAAGTAGCCCACTTCATGCCCATAATTGTCTTGTAGGTTAGGTTAGCGTAGGAATCGTGGAAATCCTCCATGATCAAATCCCCAAACTCGGCACTTTCATTATACACGGGCAACATCTTCTTCTCGTCATTAATCTTTCCCAAAAGGAAGGCGTACCTCACGTTTCCGGTGTTGTTTTTGGAGGTCGAGGCCCACGTGGCACGAATATTATCCCTCTGTTTTCTGTCGCTATGTATCGTGAGGATCACAATAAATAAGTCAATCGTAACATTGGGGGATTGGCTGCAGATCGCTGTGTTCTGGATTAAGTATGTGAAGTTATGGACGAAGCAATCTGCGCACACATCCTGACGGACTCCGGGTGCAGGAGTACTTTTCACAACCGGTTTCGTACTTGTCACAACCGGTTTCGTACTTGTCACAACCGGTTTAGTAGATGTGAAAAGCGGCTTGGTGGTTACATTCAAAGCATTGCCTTGAACTCTTTTCAAAGAAGCAAACGAGAGGTTTGCGTTATGCGGGGCGTCCCTTCCAATGAATGACGTCTTCCCAGAGCTAACCAACGACACCTGCGATACGTTGATGATTGTATAGAGGTAGTTTACAGACGTTAATATGTTGACGATCATCAATAAAGCTAAGAAAGTAATTATGTACAGAAACGTCTTCAGGAGACGAGGAGGCTCCATGATGTCACACGTGTCCTGATATTTCAGTTATGAATAAAAATCGGGTTGAACCAGTGCAGGTCCAGGAATAATCCCAGCCAAAACACATCCACACATACAAGAAATATAATTCAGCCTGTCTGTATTTCTAATCCATCCGAAACCTTACAATTTCCAAAGTCAAAGATTTACAACTCGGGTTGTTGTTGTTGTTGACGTTGTTGTTGTTGTTGTTATTGTTGTTGTTGCTGCTGCTGCTGCTGTTGTCAGTCCTTGTCAGGAAACCGTCGTTGACTGCGAGCATAACATCATCTCACCACGACATCTTCTCCGCTGGCAGCAGCATCAAGCACCTGCAATATACAAGGTACAGACTAATGGCGTGACGCACACAGATTCCGGATTCATCGACGTAAATATTCTACAAACAACAATAACTGTGCCACTGTTTCCGACATAAGTAGCTCAATCCAGGCAACTCCACACCGGGAAAGACCGCCTCCGTGGTGTAGTGGTTAGAGCGTCCGCCCGGAGTGCGGAAGGTCGCGGGTTCGCGGGTGTCCGCAGCCTACCTCTCCCCCTCTTTTCCCCCCGAATTGTTTTTCCCTCAGGAGCATTTCCCCCTAAGCTTTGGACTTCATGATTTATGTGATATCATTAAAATATTGACACAGTTCACTATTTGATAGCTACGAGGGAGGAGTGCAAAGAGAGGAACAGCCAGGTGTACGAGAAGCACGTGCACAGGTGCCGACAACGTTATTGATTCATTTACCTGAGCTGTGCCGTCTGGTTATTCCTCTCTTTGCACTCTTCCCTCGTAAGAAATAATGAATTGTGTCAATATTTTAATGATAGTTTGTTAAACAACTTTCATATTTTACTCTTTTTCTTACCTAGTTGTTTAGGATACACCGTTTGGTCGGGATAGCCCGACATGACTGTTTGGAATAGCCCAACAATGGTATTCGGACAATCGACAAAAGTAACAAAATATGGAACTTTGACAATATCGATCAGCAACTGGATTGGTCGACAGGAGTTACTCGCCTCTGAGCGTGGAATTAGATGTGATATGGTGTTAGCATTTCGGTAATACCCGACACAGCTCTACACCAAATAACGCTTCTACCAGTTTCATCACACATCAACCAGAATGTAGCCATGTTGAAATTACTTGAAACGTAACCTTAGCCACACTAAGGTCGGACTTACATTAACATTTCACCTAAGGTAACCTTAATGCAGATTCTTGAGTGAGTGAGCGAGTTTAGTTTTACGCCGCACTCAGCATTATTCCAGCTATATGGCGGCGGTCTGTAAATAATCGAGTCTGGACCAGACAATCCAGTGATCAACAGCATGAGGGCAATTGGGAACCGATGACATGTGTCAACCAAGCCAGCGAGCCTGACCACCTGATCCCGTTAGTCGCCTCTTACGACAAGCATGGGTTACTGAAGGTTCATTCTAACCCGGACCTTCACGGGTCTGATGTAGATTCGTGTTACAGGACGTCAACCTTAGCAAAAGTCTAAGGTTAAAACTTAAGGAGATAAGTTAATCTTGGCGCTAAGTTGTTTTGTACAACGGGACCCTGAGCATGGGTCAGACATGGGCTTCACACATTGTACTCATGTGGGGAATCGAACCCGGGTCTTCAGCGTAACGAGCGAACGCTTTAACCACTAGGCTACCCCCATCTCCCCCTGTTGAGGATAAGAAGTTGTTAGTGATAACGTATCTATTTCACGCCATGAGCAACCACTTGGTGATTTGATATATGGCGCTATACAAATGGACTTATTATTAATATTTTTTATATTTTTACTGCAGCAGAGGGTTCGGGTGATCCTGGCACAGTCAGGCTGGTAAGGCTCATCATCAGCTCAGGACCCTTGCCCCCTCTACACGCAGCCCAGACAGCGAATGGGACTTCTCCCAGGAAACAGTGCCTAGTCGAACCCATCAAGAACTTTCCGGAGAATATGTAGACTCCCCAACACTGCAGCCTTCTGCATTACCCAGAGTGTCTGAAGGGCTGTGCTCCCGGTGGAGAACCCGGGCACTCTCCTGATCTGCGCCAAGAGATCGGAAGGTACCAAACCAAGCGCACCGAGAACAATGGGGAACCTGACGACAGTGTACTTGGGATGCAAGCGAGACATTTCAAACGCGAGGTCCGCATATTTAGCATGCTTTTCCTGAATCTTCAAAGAATTATTATTTTTAATTGACTTTAATGTCTTTCGTGTGTGCACACACAGCACCAAAAGCCGGATAGTAAACCATTGAAACAAACGTAAATACAGTAGGAAATACATGCCATGACCGGATTTACGTATGTTTTCAGATATTTCCTAACTTCGGGCATATATTTCATATGAATCTATACCTTTGAAACATATGCTCATCGTACATTTTCGTATGCACAAGCACCTCGTTCATGTATGCCCTGACCGGATTGTCAGGGATTTCCAAATATGAATTGCAAAACAGATACCCCGGTAAATACATGATCATACAGTATTTCCAATGCATTCCTTTGAACTTCAATGGGTGCTGAAATTTCCGATTTTGTTCTAAGTTAACTCGGGTTGGAAACATGTGAATTTACTTAGGTGGGGAAACACATGTCAATTTTCAAATTTGCAAATGTTTACACACCTTAGATATTTATGTATCATACCGGATTTCAGGGGTATGTATATGAACGGTTCATACACCTTCATGTTACCTATACTCAAGCAAGATGATCATATGTTTCCATCATGTGAACTACTTGGTTCATGTAATTTCACTTTCACACATTTTAGTACGTTTGAAATCAACGTTCACATGACCTCAATATTCTTATCACCAAAGAGCCTGACAAAGAAAGCAGTATTACGCAAGCTAACACGCCTTATTAAGCTGCACTCGCACTTGCTACCAGTATCAGTTACGCCTTGTCTGTGGCGTTGGCAAATCTTGTGAGGTGCATGTTTCGAGGGATTGAAAGGTTCAGTGGTGAACAAAGGGCGATGCGTTGCCCCTTTGTCCTCGCAAGTGTCACTAGCTGCCCCAATAGAATAGCAATTTGTATCTCTTGGAGCACAGCCAAATATGCTACACGAACAAACTCGTAATTTCTTAAGTCTGTTCAGCTACTGTAAAATATTTTGTTACAGTACATAATGGGAATCTTATTGCACTGCATGTGACCTTCCTTAATAGTCTCACAGTGCCTGAACAATGTTATTTCTCCATTCGCACAGCCTTTGCTGTAATAACGCCATACATAAACTTTAAAGTTTGTTTCACTAACGCAAAAGTATACGATAACAAACAATGCCATATCAAATTATATATTCTGTGAGACATGAAATGAAAAATTGTTTTTATCGAGTAGCGATTATGACCGGATAGGACAGGCAGGTGCGTTCTCTGAGTATATCATAGGCATGTTGGATCTCCGTGCCTTTTATGAAATTCGTCTATATTGTCCTGTTGAAATTGACGATCCATTACTCAGATTGCGAGTAAATATCACGTAAGTAATTGTGATGTCGCATTGCTGTAAATTTCCCTGTCGGAGAAGTCATTCTCACAAGATGTATATTCCCTTGTTTAGAGAAGATCTATGGCTATTACGCCCCAGTGTTGCTAAACATCTTATAGGCCTTTAGTCTGACACAAACGCAAACATCGCATGTTCAAGTTCAGATCTGACAGGGGCTGAACATATCATTCCGACATGAATACAATATCTCAGTGTTTTCCTAAGTAAGTGGAGATCTTTCTACAACATGGGAAATAACTGTATTGCTGTCCTTCTGATATTCCCCCGAACGAAAGCTCTACCCATTTAGGGTACAATGTGTAAGTTACAGAAATACATGGAATAGTCTTAAGACTTTTCTACTTTGACCAGGATTCTTCGAACTTGTAACAGTCGTTTGAGGAGATCAAAAGAGAAAAGGGTAGTGCGCGATGTATATGACGGACGTATATGGAGAACGTTCGAAGAACTTTATAAATACAATAATAGAAATACCGGTTATGTTTAAAACGTACCTTCAATCTGATAGCCAGAGGGATTATTGTGAAAGATCGCAGTACGTCATCATAAACGGGCCAAGATAAAAGTACATGGCATTCATCCCCTCATTATATCCCTTCTATAGACACGGGACATCGTTGTTACAGGTAGGGCAAACACTTTCTTCTAAAGGTATCTGCCGGTTTCACGGTACATACATGTGTTCAGATTATCGGGAAAACTAGCGACGCAAGTTCTCCTCCATCACACCAGAGACCACATAATCTATCATATGGCCTTTGATCACACATATAACTGTATAAATACCCAGTGTTTATTGATAGCGATTAAGCAACTTATCAAAATTTACGGCTGACAGTATCATCTGCATTACTCTCTTAGATAAGGTGACATATCACAGGGTTGTCATGGTAACGATAATTTGGCATACTATTTATTGTGTTATTCTTTAATCTGCGATTATAATTTAAATCAGTTTTGACATGAGCATGTTAAGAAAAGAGAAGCTGTAAAACGAAATGTATTGTGATCGAACCTATAGGCCTTTGTAAAAGCGAGTTTCTAGATCCCTACATAAAAACCTGTTTTCATGATAAATATGTGCTAATCCGTGGCACGATTCCAACCATATCATGGGCATATGTTTGTGAATCATAATCAAACAGTGATGTTACAAGGCGTTCATGCCGTGTCAACAACACACATGTAAACAGGGGCGTAGCTACCATTATAAAAAACAGCTCGAGCTTACACATGATCTTTGCTAAAAAATATTTTTTCTTCTAATTTTTGCTAAAAATACCTACAAACACGTTCCATTAAAAAAATGGAAATACCTATACGAATCGTACTGACTACAGTATTCTTTGATTAAAGCATTACCATGTACAGTAAACAGGTTATTATTCATATCATAACTTTCGGTGATGATTGTTTTTCCATCGACATGTATGAGGATGTTTTGTTACAGTCATGATTATATGTGAATCATCACTGAAATGCAGTTATTTATTTATCATTTGTTTATCAATTATTTTAGAAAAAACACCAAATACTCGATGTATGGTATTGCATCAATGCAGCAGACATGTGTAAACGATGTCCAAACATATTTGTATATGAGGAAATCACATTTCAATTTCCATGGTGGTAAGACATCCGTCCGTATCCCCTAAATTTTAATGATGAGGAAAACTTTCTTTGTGTGGCACTTTTAGAAGTAGATAATGTCTAAGAAAACACGTTAAAACTCGTCCTTATCAGATGAGGAATATATATTCAGGTGATATGATTTGACTAGAATGAAATTTA